TGCCATCTTCAGGTAAATCCTCTTTTATGGATCGTCATGGAGCAAGAGTCATTGTACTAAAGGAAACGGGTAATTTTGTCGAGCAAATTAATCTTTCAGTGTGATAATAAGGAAAAGACATGGACATGGCAAAAAACAGCTGATTGGCTTATCACTTAACCTTGAACTGAACACTAGTTACACAGTTCGCCGGCCCGACCAAATGTGAACGCTTCAATCAGTTTATCTGTGCTTTGATTACTACACTTATTAATTATTAATTATTTTGATACAGCAACGCACACTAAAGCACGGGTCACACTAGGCTAGTCGCCAGCCGCTGGTGATCAGCAGCTGGCACCAGCATCACCGGCTCACCAATCCAGGCTGAGTCAGCTCAGTGTCAGCTGCGAATTTTGTGGTCACATTAAGCTGACAGTCGCGGCTTCTTTCAATTCGCCGCTGATGCCAGCCTAGTGTGACCCGTGCTTTAGGTGTGTATAGGCTACCAAGCTGAATATAAATAAAAAGTGAGTACTGGTAATGGAGGAAGATGATCTGTGTAGCTTTGTTGCTGGCTGACTAAGATCAGCTATTTCACTAGTTTAGAATTGATCATCGGGCTTTTAATAATGAATAAAAGTCCGATGATCAAGGACAGTGGGGCCCAGTTCCGAACAATCTAAAAGCTACACTCTTATCACTTATCTCAGGATCGAACCGGTGACTGTTTGATTACTAGGCAAGCACTATAGCCTATCCCACACAGTTATCTATCATCTACCTATCTCTATAGCCTCACAATTTCATCAATACCTGCCCTTAAACCCAATTCAATTACCCACTAATCACATGCAATGCCAGCTTCCAGAACTCTTAAACGGGTTATACATAGTAACTTTCAGTACTAGTCAAAGTGTCAAGGGTCAAATCAATCCAAGGCTGAGGAGGGTCAGATTCCAGGATTACACGCCTAGGATTATACTTGCCTCCCCTCACGGGAACGGGACGAATAAAAAAAAATACTACAGTATAATCAGGGAAATTTTAAATCTCGTTCTACTAGACGAGATTCTATTTTGGTCGAGATTTTTTCAAGACGAGATAAAAAAACGTTAAAAAACGCCTGCAGAACGTCAAAGCAATACCTGCAGTACAGGAGCGCGTTGATGTTGCGTTTCCTTTTCGAAAGCGTTTTTATTTCATTACTAGCTGTGTGCCCGTTCTACGCACGGGGATCTTAATATCATAGTCAGTTAAAACCGTCTTATATAAAGCACAGCAGTTGGTTTGCGTTTGCATACTTTCAGATATGCTGACAAAACTATTCCTTCGCAAATACAGTATCTGACAGTTTCAAGCCAAAACTAATGCTTCGCAATTAAATGTCCCCCGGATCTTGTTGGTCCATATGTTATATCCAATGATTAAACTAAATAAACGGTATCATCATTCTGACACATACTTTCTCCCATAAGTTTGTCAACAACCTTTATCATGTGTAAGCGGTAAGAGTAAATATACGGAAATGGGATTTGTACAATTTTGTTCAGAATTTAAAGGACTATAACATAATGGTTAAAAGTATTTAAGGTACTACCTCAACCTCTTAATTTAACACTTTATTCGGGTTACATTTTCATTATCAAGGCGCTCTTGTCCTTTCCGTGAAACATTGAGAAACAAGGACATTAATGCGTTACCATCATACATACACACAAAAATACCGAACTTAATTAGGGAATCTGCAGGGATGCGGAATACTATCCCCCGGAAAACTACCCCCCCAGGTGAAACGTGACGTCACAAAATCTGCTAACTAACCAATATGGAAGCCGTGTCCGCGACTGGAATACTACCCCCCTAGACAAATCATGCTATGTAATTTTAATTTTAATTCGAGTAATTCCGTTGGACAATAGAACATGCGTATGGTGAATATAAAACAGATTTTTGAAATGTTACAGCAAGTTTGGTTGGTTAGGTTAGGTTAGATTAGAACTGTTTGACAACTAAATTTGAGTGTCCGTGACTGGAAAACTACCCCCCCGGTCTCTGACGTCAATATGACGTAGGAACCTGCTTGGGGGGGTAGTTTTCCGGGGGGCAGTCTTCCGGCGACCCGAATCTGCTACGCTTTAAGCATAAAAAGGTACATATAAAATTAGTACTTGAAATCTTTGTTAATGCCATAAAATTTGATCATAACAATTTATATTTGCTTGGACCGGAGATGACTCGAAATTCTGTCGAAATGCTATCTGAATCGGTTTGTTATATGAAATGAAGTACAGTAGGCCTACTATAGACGATTTAGATTGGTAATTTGTAATAAAAATTACCAAAATAGGCCACGAACTATTGATACAATGTTCAAAGTGTTTGAACAATTCATGATGGTTTGCTGAATAAATGTTTTACTAAAATGCGTTATAGTTTTCTTAGCATAACATTTTGGAATCCAGACAGAAAAAGCAAAAATTATACAGTTAAGACATCAATTAAATTGAATAGGCCTACGCCTGTAATAAATAAGGTGCAACACCAACGATAACTAATTTGTAAATTACTGTGATGTGTTGGTACGTAAAAATGATTCTTGCTGCTACTAAAGGTTAAAAGGAAAAGAACCAGTACCGTACCAAAAACCAACGTTTACAGTAAAGAACTGTAGTACAGCCGACCAATTATATGCGTTAATCAAGGTCATTGATCTCTTGGTTTTGAATTTTCTCGTAAAAAGTTATCGGCAATCAAAGTTATTTCCCATTAATTGCTTTATTTGTACACAACTCTTAATGTAAACTTATCGGTGTCAGTTTGAAAAAAAAACCCTTATACAACGTAACTTTCTGTTATTTAATAGATTACGTATTCTCTAAACAATGGTTGCTGGTATATATATTAACATTATAAGGAAATGTGACAAAAATCACACAATTTTGGGTTTTTGGACGTTTATAATTTTATTTCTTAAGTACCTAGGTAGGCCGTGTATTCTATGGAAAAGTACCGGTATCAAGGATCGTTGTCGAAAGGGTTGTTATAAATAATTGGGTAAGCATACGTACCACACGTACCCAAGAGAAGGGATATGGGCCTATTGGCTGTATGGTCCAGCGATTGCATCACACGGTGAGTAGGAACTATTGACTTTATATAGTCAATGGTAGGAACAGAAAGTGACACATTGGAAAATCGAGTTCAGCATCATCCGTAAACCTCTGTTACAATCACCCACTGCAGTTGTAATTTTTTGCTTTACACTTTACACAACCGCCATTGAAGAGCCGTCAATGAGTGGAACATTGTTTCCAAGCTATTGGCGACGGTCATTAGTAAATTTAAGTTTCCCAGCCGTATACAACACTGATTCAATCTTGATTCAATGTCTTCTTTCTGGTTAGGTATCAAAACTCCAAAACAATTTTATACACATATTTCTGGTTCCTGACCTGGATGATGCCTAGTTATTTAATTTACGGTTACACTATATTATTCCACTTGCGATTAATTAAATCCTTTATGTAATAAAAACGTTTTTAATCTCACTTGGATGGGATTTGCCTTCAAAACGTGATCGGAAATGGTTGTGGTGTTTGTAAACAACATTTGTAAACATTTCAGTGACAGCTAGAAAAAATAATCTTGATCCGAACAGCTGTTCGTTGTTTCATAGATGATTATGTGATACAAATTGGAAGAAAACTTGACAAAAATCGCACAAAACTGCATTTTTGAACGGCCGTAATTTTAATTACAAAGTAGTGAGACCATATTTTAATGGCTAAAGACACTCTCGCCAATCCAGTGAATACATTAAAATGACTTGGGTCTTGATAGGTACTCTCGTTTTCCTGGAGAAGATTGCGTAAAATGCCATCTTGAGTGTGTCAGACAGATAGACAGACAGGCAGACAGACAGAAATTTAGATGAGACTTGTTTCGGCTTCTTTAATGTATAAAACGTAAAAATAACCTAAAAATGTATAATTCTGAGCAATGTACAGACAAAACTCTAATTTTATTTATATAGATTAATTCTTTACAAGTAAAAATTTCTTTAATTGTTTTATAATTTTTTGTTTTGACATAGCAAATGATGAGAATTTTTGTTAGTGTAAGAAGCGTGAGATATGTTTTACTACGTTCTGTAAACATACCAAAATAAGTCACTCAAAATCATTCTAAAAATAACACAAGACTGAAAAATTATAACTTGATAACTAACTATAACTTTATAATTTATAGCTTAACTAGTAAGACTGATGTTTTAGACTGATAAATTTAGTATTTTTTCAAATTTGACCATCTATCCTAACTGATGTCTCCATGTTTCCTGTGTGGAAGTGGTTTTTTTATAAGTTAGGCCTAATTAATATTAATTGTTTTACTATAGCTATTGTGGTTTTTTTCATAAAAGATTTTAAATATTCTTCTCTATTATTAATATTTTTGTATTTAACCAGTCTGTCATGAATCAGTAAGTATTTAAAAATTGTTACAAAATCAGGTTGAAATGTCGAACATGCATTTCCCGTTATGTATGAGAAGGTAAACCCCGTCTCGATCTTGTCTCAAAATTTTATGAGAAATACAAAATCCCATCTTGTCTCGTCTCAAACTAAAAATCCAATCTGGCCCATCCCTAGTGCAAATGTTAAGTCCATATCCGAGCTCCCTCCATCTTTTGCACACATTTTCTACGTCCAAACTCTTCACTCAATTCTGCCTTTTATGGTCCCCATTTCATTGAAAAGTATTAAAGTATTAAAGTATTTAATAGTAAGTCAGACTAATCGCCCATTGGAATGGGAACTACAAGTACAGTAGTCAATGAAGTAAGGAACATTGGTCTTAGTTTGAATTATTTTGCTTGGTTGCGATGGAAGCTCGCTAAAGACCTTAGTTTGCGGACAGCACTCGTGGTCAGATTCATCATAATACCAGTTTAACCTATATTTTAACAAGTATACAGTAACATTTAAACTAGAAATGTAGCTAACTAAAAATATTTCCAGAGGGGAGAAAAGATTGCAGTAGAACATGAGGGGTCAGGCCTTGCTTACATTGACTTCCAAGGCTCCAACCCGTTCCAGCTGTTCCAAGAATGGCTAACAGAGGCACGAGCTTCTCATCTAGTCAACCCAGACGCTCTGTGTCTGTCCACCAGTTCAAAGTAAGAGGTTTTTGTAATTTGATTGTAGCATACAGCATTTTAATCCTCGTTTCAAATTGCTATTTACTTTACACAGATAATTTCATAATTTGTTTACTAGAAGCTCTCTTTTCTTGACTTGACCTGATGTACTTCTACTTTGATTTATATCATAATTTGTTTCAACTGGTACGATTGTACCTTATGTAGGATTACAATTGACATTGTTTGTATCTTGTACGTTGTTTCAGGGATGGAAAGCCCAGTTCCAGACATGTGTTAATAAGAAGGTTGGACGATGACGGTATCGTCATCATGACAGACGGCCGGAGTAGAAAATCAAAAGAACTGGTAAGTACAAAATTAATAATTCTCAGAGTTGAGTAGGACTGGATAAAAGATCATGTAGATATAAAGCAGACTTTGGCATTGAGAGAAAATTTATTAATTGTCAATTTGTAGGAAAAACTTTTAACTTAACTTTTAGCAATAAAGTAAACACACCAACGAACCTACTATAGTTCAGCCGCTTAGAAAGCGACCTCCTCCAGCATTGGTTTAGCATTAGCGCGCAGGTCGTTTTCTAAGCGGCCGAACTATAAATGTAACTTAATTCACGGGTTTGTCTGTTAGATTGTTAGCGACAGTTCCCACCAAATTGTGTGTGAGTATTTAGTCCCAACATAGAAACAAGAAGAAAGTGAGTTTCAAGCAGCAAATATGAAACTTTTAGGAAGAATAAAGAAATGTACTAGATATATGATGAGAATTAAAAAAATAAGAAGACTGTTCAACAAAAAGTGTCCAAACAAAACTACAAGAATATCAAGCCTTAAGGTTACCTAAAAGGTTTAAGGTTTCTTGATATTATTTTACCCTTGAGGCAAAAGAATCCCCAAAAGCACAATTTTACACAGTACATCATTTATATATTTTCATACTGTACCGCAAAGAAATGTAGTGGTTAAAATTATCTATAAAGATAGGGAAGATTGCTGGGTTGGAACTCCTTTCCAGTTCTTTGATGGAAGACGAAGAAAGTCAAAATAATTAAGGTATATTCCAAGCTTTTTGTTTGATATGGATCCCTTTAATGTAATTTATTTTATTTCTTTTTCATTCATTATGACTCAATACAATGTTTGACCATTTACATTGAAGCAGTTCATGCACTTTGACATTCACTTTAGTGGGTTTCCTGTTATTCATGCATTATCTCCTCACTTACATTTAGCTTATTGAAGATAATCATATAAAATGAAATTGTTATCTTTAAAATTTTGGTTCTAATACCTTATTTATACTTTATTTTGCAGGAAGAAAACCCTCACGCCTCAATGGCTTTTCTCTGGTCATATGTAAAGGACGGCCAAAAAATAAATAGACAGGTAAGAAATATTCCATTACGGTAAATGTAATGCATTTCACTTACTGCTACCTTGACAATTAATCACAGATATATTCTACCTTAAAGTACAAATTCCATCACCTTTGAAAATGTTGTGATCACTTTCTCCAGTCAGAAAAATAAAATAAAAATTAACTAAAAAAAAACTCGAATACAGTATACTCTCTCTTACCCAGACACCTAGTGACCAAGGCCAGTTTGTATAACAGATAACCGTTTTTTCAGCTACCCCGATGTCCCCGATGTAAAAATTGTATGATGCATGTGCGCGCCACTAAAATCACTCGAAAACTAAGCCAAGTGGCAAACATGTTACTTAAATTTGCGAGAGCATTAGACCGTTATTTAGACACGTTATCACTGGTGAAAATTTTTTTCCCTCGAGAACACTCGTTTCAGTACCGCCCCCTTCCTGTCAATCCAGTCAGGTTAAACTAATGTGCTAAATATTGTCAGGTTTAAGAGGTGTCACTTCTGCCGTGTGTAGCCCGATTAAACCAATGTCTGGTTAAAACGTGTCTGCATAAGAGGGAGTCTACTGTATTATTACTGTATTATTGATGACTTTAACCTTGTAATCTATATAAATAAAATTAGAGTTTTGTCTGTACATTGCTTAGAATAATGAACTTTTTGGTTATTTTTACATTTCATAGGTCAGAGAAACCGAATCAAACCTTATCTCAATTTCTGTCTGTCTGTCTGTCTGTCTGTCTGTCTGTCTATCTGTCATTCTCTTGGTAACGCTAAAATACGCACTTTATTACAACTACTCCTCAATAACTATAGCACTGTCCCGCCTGAAACTTATTTTCCAAATACTATACATATATGAGATGGTTTTAGACGTATTTCATCGAATATGAGACAGTTAGATATTTAACAGTAAACCCTTGAAAATCAAGTTTTTGTCGATTTTTGACGTGGAATTTCTGGAAGCCCATGTTAACCTTATGAGAAATGAAATTATTGAATCTTAACAGCTGTTTCAATTAAACAAGTTGGTTCTGTTCTGTGATGTTCAATAGCATTAAAGTTACAAGGATTACCAACAGGGTGCAGCACTAGCACTATTATTTCTTTTACATTTATGACAACAGCTAATTTGCAACCTGGAGGCGAGTGAGCGTAGCGAACGAGCTAACCTGAAGGCAAGTGAGCGTAGCGAACGAGCTAACCTGAAGGAAAGTGAGCGCAGCGAACGAGCTCCAACATACAGGTGAGTGAGCGTAGCGAACGAACTTCAACCAGGACGTGATTGAGCCATGCAAACGAGATCAGATAGTAAAAATAAAAGTAAGCCTACCGTTATAGGATCGACCGGCAGACACAGAGGTAATTTAACCTTTTATTGATTGTCATACCGATCCGGAACAACAAAAAACAACATAAAATGAAGCTATGTATAATAGTTTGGCCAGCATATCTTAAAATATGCAAACCAACTGCTGTTCGTTATATAAGAAGGTTTCAACTGAATATTATAAGATCCCCGTGCGTAGAACGGGTACACAGCTAGTATATAAAACAAATTGACTATCATTCTGCCAATAATGGGTTAATCCACTTAGTCATCGACTTCTTCTAAGTACTTTTTAATAACTTGTTTCATGATGGATTGGCCACTAGATCGTCAGATTCAACAAACCTTATATTACCTGTTTTACTGTTGGGTTAATCTCTTATGCAAACTTTCTCTCCAGGTTCGTCTTGAGGGCAGAGTCGAGGAGGTGAGTCAAAGTTCCTGCCAGGAGATATGGGAGAGAGAGCCTCTATTCTGTAAGATCAGGGCGAACATTTGCGATCAAGGTACCCCCACGGACTGGCAGGAACACAAGGATAAACATGACCAGATGATGCAGGATATTCTCTCTGGCAAGGTGGTGCCACAGATGCCAAGCCATGTGTAAGTCAGGTTCATCTTACACCTTAATAAAATAGTTGGGTGGTTGAAGTGTACTTGCTTGAAAGTATAAATGTTGTAGAATTATTTGGACCATGAGCTATTATGTGTATGGTATTCTGGTATTATTTATTACACTAAAATTGTTTGAATACCAACTTTATTGTAATCCTTAAAATTCAGTAACCGTTCTAGGACCTTTTCAGGGGGGGAGGGCTACCGTGGTGTTTGGGGGGGGGGGTGGGAAAAAGATTTCTAGGACAAAATAGATGTACTTTCGCCAGTAGTAGCCCCCAACTCTTAAAAGTGCCATTGCGTAAAACTGCTTACAACAACTAGTTTCAGCGCCGATTTAGTGCCATCTTCAGGCTATAACCATCGACTATATAAATATATATATAACCCAGCTGATTTGGTCATATAGGAACCCAGCACAGCAGAAAGTTGAGCCTGGAACACCAACATGAACATATAAATAATTTTGAAACTATGACCAAGATGGCCTGTGTCAGAATATTTTAGTTAGAAAACCAAAAGGATATGTAGAAACATTGGTCTTGTTGTTTTAAAGACAAATCAAGCTATATCTACTGGTAATCCATGTCAATCCAACAAGACGTGTTGGTAACAAGACGTAATACATTCAATCACTCTGGAAGAGTATTGACCTTCAGAAATAAATAAGGTTTGGTGAATTTGTCCTCTTCTATCAATCGAACATAGAATATATGGAGGGAAAGTGGAAACCTTAGGTTTTCAAAGGTATTTATTTCTTAATTCAGTTTCAAATTTGTGAACCATTCTCAGCACTGATCATTCATTTTCTGTTTTCAGTGTCTTCTACAAAGTGATTCCCAGTTTTATGGAGTTCTACTACGCTTATGACAACTACATCGGCGACCGCCTAGCCTTCCACACAGCTGATCAAGAAGCCAGGGTTTGGAAGTCGGAGAGGATCATGGCTTGAACAGATTTTGATCAACGTGTTTAATTTGCTGAATTCGTAAAACTTAAATTTGTGTTGTATCAAAACGTGATAACTGATAGCACAATCCCTTAAAGTATTATCTTAAAACATGAATGTGATTAGGATTTACAAAATACTATTTTTACTTTTACATTCCGATGTGAAACAATTGGTTGTGTAATAAATGTCAATGACTGTTTGTTGGTACTTAAACTTCCCAAATTTTATCTAACACATCATCTCAAACTCACCTAGAACTATAGCTTTTGGATATTAAAGTAGACGTCCCATTTATATATGCACAAGCTGTAGCCAATTTGTTAAAGAGCATAGTTAAGTGAGCCAGTCACAGATTGCTCTAGTGTCTAAAATCCCATTTCCTACCTTATTTGCTGTCACTGAGAATGTTTACATGATAAGAGATTATGTAGCTTTCAAGAGTAAAAACCCTAGAATCTAGAAAGAACAGGGTCCAGAGTTACCTCGAGCTTAGTTAACATAAGCTGCCATTAGATGTGATTTTGTAAAAAAAAAATTAAAATTGTACAGTATTTTAAGTGGTGTATTCCAACTTCAATGTAGGTATGCAATTTGTATGGACCAATGTCAAATAATTAATTGCTGTACTGATCAAATTTTACAGTGTGCTTTAACTGGGTTTAAATTAGTTATATGATAGGTCAATCTTAAGATACTGACCCTTAAGGTTCAGCACTTCAAGAAGGTAAGACGAACTTCCTGCCAGGACCATGGAATAGGTAGACTCTGTTCTGCACGATCAGGCCAAACATTTGCGATCAAGGAACTCCCACGGACTGGCGGGAACACTAGGACGCTTGCAGTCCCATTTTCATATCTGCTCACAGTCTATTCATGCAATGGTACACTTATGTTATGTCTAGAACTATACTCTGTTCCACAAATTCTTGAAAAGACCCGGCATGGATTATAAACATAAACAAATGACGTTTATAGCCCAAAAGTTAAAAAAACCATATGTTAATAGTATAGTGGGTTTGTTTACTTTCAGGCCAAAAACGTACGGTAATTTGTTTATGTTTATGATCCATACGGGTATTTTTCTAGCATTCGTGCTCCGTTCACAAAATTTATGTGGTGTTTGTGAAATCTATATTGTATCCATGTTTTGATCCTACCATTAAAACATAGCTCAACAGTTGAGATGTGCCAAAACGTCAATCTGCTGCATCATTTATTTGTCAGAAAAAGGTGGTTTGGGAACTTCCCCTCAAACCGCCGAAATTTTGTGAACGATATGTGACACACATTCCTTAGACACACTATAGTGCTGGTGTCTAGGGCAAAGCCTAACACTACTCCCCACTCCCCTTGTAATACAACACTCACGGCGGAGGAAGACACTGTGTCCTGTGCGATAGGAATTTCGGCATAGCGCTCTGTGCTCAAGCTTTTCCCTATTTGTCACAAGAATATTTTCAGCACATATACTATACTGTTAATACTGTTCAATGAAATGGCGACCATACATAGGTATTTTAAGCCAAGTATGAATGGAGATTAGTGTAGGATGAGTGGCGCGATCTTGTAGTCTTGTTAGTGACTAAGTCCGACATTCCTTAGACACAGCTGTTAATTAATAACCCATACAGCTAATGGCAACTAAGGGACCTACAGTTTATAGTGGAATCCGAACCACATTTTTCCTTGGTATATACGATTTGGTCTAATTATCAGGATAGTACTGCGGATAGTCGTAGTACTCACTCGTGTGGACGTTAATCCACACCAGGGAGTATCGCATCCACAGTGCATGCCTATAAATATCCACAATCTATAGAGCTAAAGACGAATGTGTTGTCACATAAGAGTGGTTCCTTGGTGCCATTAGGTACCTTATTTCGCTGTACTGTACCCTAAAAGATTCCCCAACCTCATTCCTCTTGCACTCTTTGGCAATTGTTCCCTGTACTGCTATCCTAAGAAAATGAATGAGGTTGTAATAATTCAAACAAAATAAATAAAAAACATTTACTTAACATATAATTATTACTATATCTAATAATTTACATCATGAACACAATAATAAATCATCTTTACAAAACTATTTAATTACAAAATAAATATGTACAAATAGTAGTACTACTAAGTTAGTATATAAAATAAATAACACAAAATTGCTTCAACATGATCAATGATGGTGTTAGTCACCAACATTGGTAAACTTTGAAATTCACACAAGAAATATTCTTCGTACTTACAGACAGATTATTGGAGTAAATGACTCATACTCATGCTATCTACATACAATATTTCTAGGACAAAGTATATGGTTTATTTATAATTACATTCATTATTAGTCTTACGGTTCTAACAAGTATCATTTGATTTATGAATTTGAGTTTTCTTTAACACTAGGATTGTGGTTACTTGAGCTTTGGTTATAAGTTTCAAGGCTAAGACAAGATTAACTAAACCTATAAATTTTTATTCTTAAATGATCAATTGGCTGGGTGGGATTTGTGGATTGAAAACCAGTGATGAAAAAGTTCACAATTTTACTTTTGAAAATGTCTTTAAAGAGCTATAGAGTGGTCAAAGTTGAACGATAAAGATTTTTTGTCTACGATAAACATTTTTACATTTTTTGGATAATCTTAATTGCTTTGATTAAACACACTGCTATCATGTATTTTTGTGTTGATACTATTCCAATGCATATAGTTGTAGCCAGTTGTATAGTAAAAAGAAAACTTTATTTTAATTCAAACCTTTACACTGATAGGTCAACTTTTTATGACCTTTAGTTTCGTCCATCTCTCTTTTAACTATTCTGGCTACATCTGACAATATAGATATCTTTACGTTGGTCAAATTTATTCAAACTGATTAACCCTTTAAACGTTATTTTCTAAGTATTTTTTTTAACTCAAAACCCAGATTCCGGTCTACGGAATAGCTTGTAGAAATAAAGGAAATTTAGTAGTTAACTTTCATTTCCAGGATACTTAAAACAGTATCATTACAGCTACTAACTTGTAGTCAAAGTGTAAATTCCTTATTACCGTACATGCTACAACTTTGTTTCCAAAACTTTAATCTTTCTAGTTCCACCCATATTTAAAAACTGTACCTCGCTGCAATTTAATTCCAAGGTATGATTTTTTGTCCTATATGTTTCAAGAGAGAAAAAATGACTCAAAAAACTATACTGATTCATTTCTTTACTGTTGCCAAGTTTTGAAAACAAAGTTTCAACGTTTTATAGGTTTACACCTTCAATCAAATATCTGCCTTTATGGTGGTAAGTATCCAGTCAACGTTGGGTGTCGTCTTGTCGTACATTCTAGGTCGCTGACTGCCGGCCGCAGCACAAGCTATCCTCCAGTTGGTAATGCCTACTAGAGTCCAATGGTCTCGGTCGATGCATATCATTGGACTGCCAGCTAGCTCTTCTTCCTGTAACACCAACGATTTTAAAGGCTCGGTTTTCTATACAGTAAAACTTCTTTTAAATGCTCCACACCAAATAAAAAACCTTGTTAAACAAAACTATATTAAGAAATTAAAATCAATTGGAAAACTAGTTAAACAATAGGAATTGTTTAACATGGAGGGTAGTTGTCCCGGCTTCACAAACGGATAACATGGAATGCAAATCATGATATAGATACTGTTCAGAAAACAGCTGTAAATTAATTTAAACAATAGATTTTGTGTATACAGTTGTAGATCTTAAGTTGATAGTACATTAAAATAACATAAACAACTACCGTACTGCTGTAGATCTCTTTGAACTAAGATCACTTTTACCATTGACTAACAAAAAGAAATTACCTGAAACTGCCTTGTATTCTTTAATTCGGTTAGTCAGAATTATTTTACTGTAGTTTCATTTATGGAGGAAAAAATAAATTTCACTTTTAGGATGGAGTTTTGAAAGGAATGAAGAACAATCTAGGTCTGGTGTTTTGTTTTGAGATTCAGGATTAGTAATGTTTTAGTGGACACGTCAGCTGCTGTTTTTTTTTTTCAAAAAAAAAATTTTTCTTTGGTTATAATTTTAGGGAAAGCAGTCTAAAGCCTTTAAAAGGTTTATGGATATGTTGGAACTTAATTGATAATGACAATTGAACCCATATACATGACTCATAAGATAATTAGTAAGACCTTAACCTAAACCCACTTAGAGAAATTATAACTGTAGGACCATAATAACCATAAGGGCTGTTATTACAAAGCGCCCAGGTGCACAAGGGGTTTTAGGTTTGTTAGAGGCGCAAGAAGAAATAAAAAAAAATCCTGTTAGTAAGAAACTTAGACTTACACTGCAGTCTTCCATGGAGTACACACTGTTGGCACATAGAGCATTCACAGACATGATGCTAATGTTGGCACATTGGTCCATATTGCTCTCAAGTAGCTCCACCCTCTGAAGCACCTCCCCTACAACATAATCACACGTCATATATTGAGGTCTTTGTAAACTATTAAGCTACGGGCCCACCGGGAAACCTAGCGGATGACGCGGTGCGACGTGGAGAAAAAATTCCGTCCGCTTCTCTAGGGGCTGTGCCCACCAAGCAACCCTAGCGGAAGTGCGGGGCTGCGCGGTGAATTATTCTTGTGGAGGGGATGCACAGTGCCCTTCGATCCGGAACTGAACACGCCCGAAGGGCTCACAATACTTTCCAAAAGCACCCGAATGAGCGGCAGACGAAGGGCAGACGCCGTTTCCGGGCCTCTACCCCGCACCCACCAGGTAACTCAACAGAGGTGCGGCTACACAAGAAGAACTTCTCAACCGAGTTCTCACTGCCGTATTTGAGGAGAATTTTTTTCCACGCCGTGTCGCGCCACCCGTTGGGCGCCTAGCTTCAAGAGCGATGTAAATACTGGCTTTGGATGTTATTTTATCATTCCTCTGTCAGATAAGAATTGCTCTTTGCGGTATTAAGAAATTATGCTAATTTTGGCTTATTTAAAGGGTATTATTACCAAGGGCAGCCTGGGGAAATAAAACCGGGAAAATAAACCCCAGGCATTCTTCAGGCAAACTATGGTCCCTGACAGATGAGAACTAGATTTGGATGTAGGGAAGTCTCTGGGACTTTCTCAAGTAATACACTTGAATTAAACTTTTGAATCACAATCTAGAGTATGTTTCAAAAGGATTTCAATCTTTCTTATCAAACTATTGTATGGACCACTTTGTAATTATAGAAGAACCAGCCTCAGCCATGCAACGAGAGACTAACTTATATTTTTGTTTAGGCCTGTTTTGTCCTGAATACATAAATTATTCTCTGGTATAAAGAGTCCTCTGCCTTTCTGGCACAGTCCATCACTACTTTTTTAGATCTAACTTAAACATATTTTTAGATCGTAAATTGATATCCCAACAATGACATCTATTGAGTCTAGAATTAGAAGTGTAAGCAGAAATGTTGCTGGAGTAATTTCAGAACTTCAAAAATATTTTAACATCGACAGTCAGGTACTTTTTTTAGACATAAAGTTCTGTCGGCTTATGATAGATTGTTTTAAGGCACGTACTATTTCTTGTCCAACCCAGCGTGTGACAGCTGGTGTACACGGGCTGTGCTCCAAGACGAGGCAGACAGATTGGTCGAACAAAGTCAGACACTTGTAGCGGAGAGTCCAGCTTCACAAGGACCATGGTGCTGCCCTCCACCTAGATGTTGAACAAGTTTGTATTTATTATAAAAAATTACTAGCTTATAACAGCAGTGTAGTGTTACATTAAAGAAAACAAATGGCTTCCTCAAAAAACTCTTTCATATTGTCTCTTTAGTAAGCCAAAAAGATAGATTGAGTAAAATTTACCTGTGTTGTTTTATATTAACAACTCAAATGAAAAGAGCAGGGCAGCTTTAATAGGGCTTTGGTAGGCCCGAGGCGCATGAGGTTTTAGGTTTGTTTGAGGTGCAAAAATGAGAAAAATCCCCTGCACAGTAAGCAGGAGGGAGCACAATTACATCCATATCATGCAAACCACTTTCCTTAAGAAGAGAAATAAAATGAAGATCCCTAGGATCCTTTCATACAGCTAAATCAAATTCACTAAGCCATAGAAGTCCATCCTTCCTCTTACTGTTAATACCAGGAAATAGGTTAAAAGGACAATTCCTAAGCAACTATATGATTCTCAGTCTGATATTCTTCACCAAAACTACACGATAATTGGCTGTCATTCCCCATTTCACTCTCTAAGATATAAATACCCACATTGGGTAACTGACAAAGGTGGTGAAATTGGAAGGTGAATGGTTACCAAATAATGTTGAATGCTCAACTATAAACAAAGTAACACGGACAAAAATATGAGCAGCAAATATATTTAACTTAAAACAATTTTAATATCAGCTAAATAGATAAGGATAGATTAAACACCCTTATAAATTTGTCATTTACCTAAGTCAGATAAAGTAAACTTTAAGTTAATAATATAAGCTAACAATAACTTCGTCCATATAATAAATGTAGAGTGATTTCACGTTGTCTAATCAACTCTGAAGGATTTTCTTAAACAATAGGATGAAACATATATTTTAAAAGTCCCTAGATTATTACAAACTGAGAATCCACTGGCAGCATTTACCTGTAGTCGATGGTTTTGACTAAAATAGAGTTAACCAACAGAGCCAGGCCCGTGGTTTGTATGTGACACGCTATGGGCCCAAGAGATGGTTGCGCCCCTCCTCGCCTCCTTGCAGAGAAAATTTTCCCTTCCTTGGGCCCCTAACAAAACCCAAAACCTCTTCGGCCTCTGGTCCTGAACGCAGCCTACTCTTCTCAACTAAAAGCTTCTCTTTTTGTTTCATCTCTAGGAACCAAAGGTCTGCTCTTAAATCAAACGTCTGATTGTGATGTACTAACGCCCAACATACTCACTGGTGACTTTGTCATCCCCACGATGTGTCTCTCTTGCTGCCACGGAGTTGTGGATGTGAGCCGGACACTTCCGAACCTCGCCACCCACTCCGCCTTCTGTTGCCTGTTGATACAATACACACATGTTATATTTTTACATTACGAGAGGGACTATTTCACATCAAGCAAACCACACCATACAGGAAAGGTTGTATGAAAGTAACAATTGTTTCTCGGGTTGTTCTAGTTTTGTAACACAAATTAACTTAGTTACTAGAGTTTAAGTTAGAAAGTCTCATAATTACTGTGACATACATAAAGTATGGTTAAACCTGTACCAACATGGGTTGCAGTGGCGGACAGGTTTGATAGTTTCGGTAAGAGAGCCCTAGTGGAAGACATCAATAGAAATCAATAGAAAAAATCTATTGATATCACTAGATGCTTAGTGATATCAATAGATGTTCGTGGATATCATTACAAGTAAATACAAACAAATAGACATCACTGAAAACTTAGTCAATACATATCACTAGACATCTATAAACATAAAATATATCAATATAGATCATTTGAGCAAACAAATCGTTCATTGATATCAATAGAGAATATTTTTTTAAATATGTTAGATGTAAATATAAATCAATAGACATCAATACGGATAGATAAAATGCAAAATATCTCTAAAATGTATCACATATAAACATTATGGATTATACAAAATACCAATGTAAACTTTGTGAAATAAACAGTAATAAAAATGTTATTTTTTGAAAAAAGGAAAAACTCTAGTTCTAGGTCATAGGCGTTAGCTGAGGTACCTAAAACTCAATATAGGTAATTTAAAAATATATAATTTTTAAAATTGTTGTAAAACAGTTACAACTTGTATTAAAACTTATTTTTTAAACTGCCAAAAACTGATTGCTAAACATTAAAATTGTTGTAAAACAGTTACAACTTGTATTAAAAATTATTTTTTAAACTGCCAAAAACTGATTGCTAAACATTAAAATGGTTGTAAAACAGTTTACAACTTGTATTAAAACTGATTTTCTTAAACTTAAAAAAAGTGGTTGTAAAACAATTTTAAAATTGTTGTAAAACAGTTACAGCTCGTATTGAAACTTATTTTTTTCAACTCCAAAAAACTTATTGTTAAACAATTTTAAAATTGTTTCAATCTTATATCAAAATTGTTGTAATATGAAGTTTATATCAAAATGTTTTAAAATTGTTATACAACAATTATTGTAATACAGCTTTCGACAACCTTAAACAATTTTTTTGCTTATTGGGTTATCGTTAGGGATAAAAATGCCTCACAAATTCATTATTGAATTCCTTATTTCTAGAAATCAATAAAAATAAATTGTATTGACACTATTCATATCACCCAAGTAACAAGAAAACAGTTTGAACTGGTAATAAAACAGTTTTGAAACATGTTAAAGCATATAGGTACATGCTTGAAATGACACAAATGCCATTGAAAATCTTTTTCAAGTTAATTATGAGGCCTAACACAGCTTCTCGCATTCAAAATGGCTATCATTACTCAGTCCAACGTGTATCGTCCGTGGTGTAATGGCTAAGACACCCGGCTTCCATGCTGGAGTCCCCGGTTCAAATTTCGGGAACCCACTAAACTTTTTGCCAAGAATTTTTTTACTTTTTAATTTGTATTTTATTTTTAGTGCATAGTTGATATTATTTAATGTTTTGAAACAAATTAAAAATGGTTTTTTAACAAGCTACAAATTATTTTCAAATAAGCTAATGACTCGGATCCTATTTACTTGTATTGATATGTATTGATGTGTATTGATGTGTATTGGCCCAAATACACATACGTATCAATAAGTATCAATATACAATTTTTGTATTGATATATATTGATCTCTTCCACTAGGGAGCCTAGACATAAACATCCTCTAAGTTGTGTTTTGATTTTGATTTGACCTTATGTCAATATCATAGTCATGTTGTTTGTATTTGTGGTATAAGTGTGTTGTATTTAACACTATTATTTTCCTAGAGCTAGAAGAAGAAGAAGGGACAGTCTAGGTCCTATGTTTTAGGAGAAGTTAAGAGCATTAAAATAGTCAGATTTTTTTTATTACTATCTTTTTCAGGGTCAGTTTTTACAAAAACCAAACGCTTTTAAGAGTGAGTAATCTAAAATATTCTAACATTTTGTGGATTGTTTGGGGATTGAGCTCCTCTCTCATATCAAAGTCACGTTAACCACAAAAGGTTACTTTTCCATATAAGAGGAACTAGCATTGTAAAAGGTTTAGTTTAGGAGAAAAAGATCTTCCTACATTCCTACATTTCAAGTAATTGAGTTGTCCAATTGGTAAACCCATCAAACTTCAAGTTTTTGCCCTAAAGTATTATTTACTGATGATTTCGCTCATTGTATAACTCAGCTTGGACATGATAACCTGGGAAAATGTAAGCAAAGTATCGCTATGAAGTTTTAATTCATCTAATGATCACTAATAATTACGCATACAGTAACCTAGATCAAAGCCTCCTCTAAGACAAGGCCCCGGCGTTTCTTTAGCAACGTCACACTGGCATGCCTAATTGGCTAATACCATGGTAATAACAGTATCAACAAATATGTAAACATAAACATTGTTTTTTTCCATTCTAAATTAGTGCAACAGTGGTTTCGGTTTGTCGGGACAGTGGTGTTACCACACTTATGTCTCACCACCTCGGCCTTGTATTAAAGGAGGCTAACGTACTATACAAGATGCAAAGAAGCTATCTCATACCCTTGGAAGCAGGATGCACTGGTTAGAAGCCACTGGGGATGGACCATAGTAGCATCACATACATGGACACCATCTTTGATCAGGGCTGCATGCCATGGCCAGTCTCCTAGGGCAGCCATCTTGCCAAGACCTTCCACACCTGTGGTTCTGTGAGCTGGTTGGATACCACACTCTAGACAGCAAGAAAACAGTTATATATATTGAGGTTAAAGATGTAACTAGAAAGAAAGGTTTTAAGGATTTTTATGAGGATAGCAGGTTCATCTGAATGGCACAGAAACATAACTTTACACTATACTATACAATAACTCTATTCTATTCTATTCTATACAAAAGAAAGAATGAAAAAAAATAATATTTCACTGTCACTGAACGCATATTTAACCCAGAAAGGTTTGAGTCGAGGAGGGGAAAAATTGAAAATTGTCCCAGAAAAACTAAGAAATTAAAATGTCCTCCTGCAACTCGAACCTTCCTTGATTGAAAATGCCGCCAGTGACAGTGAAATATTCTAATTTGTTTTGTAAAGTGTAAATTTGATGTGTTGTTTAGCAAGATTGGACAGCTTAGACTTTACTCTTTTATTCTACCTTCCCTCTATCGTTCTATCGAAAAAAAAAAAAGAAAAAAAAAACTACCACTGTAAACCCCGTAAGCTACCTAGCCCTCTATACTCTTTTCCTAATATCAACAAATTATTTCTCTTATAAAAGGGTCCTTATAATTATTTACTGACACCTTTATGAAGAAATATGTAAAATTTAGCTCAAACTATATCTTTGACAACAAAATCATATAACTAATACGCTGAAAAATTTCCAAAACCTTTCTTCTGGAACATTTAAAATTAAGAAAATAAATTGCCAAAAAAATTCACTGATTCAACAAATTTTGAAAGATAAAGTGTAATTTATCCTTGTTGAACTACATGTTTTACATGTCTATCTCATTGATTTGTTTTGTCTTTGTACAGTTGTGAACTCACCGGCATCCTTGCATGTGAGGTGGAGGACTGATCTACCAGGACAGGGAACCTGTACGAAGGTGATCTGTTCTGCTAGCGGATTCTCCATCTGCACATAGTTCCTGACACCCGCCTCCGTGTCTGTCTCCAAGTGGAACTCTTCTACGCTCCTGCAAAACATCAAACAAAGTAGTAACATCAGCTGAACAAAGAATAAGACACTTTTATGTTTTCACAAAGGAATCACAAAAAGTATATAGCTTTAGCACAGATTGTCAAAGCCTAGAACTAAATAGGGTGTGAGGTCTAGTGGTATTTTTGTTCATGAGTTCAGGAGAGTATAGTTTGTTCAGGAGAAGACTTGTCCACTGAAAGGCTTATTAGCTGATAGATAGTTTTGGACTCCTGTTTTTAATCAGTCCCCTGGATTGTTGGCCAAAGCAGCTTCTATACAGGGCCGGATCTAGGAACCGCGAAACCCCGCAATGCAGGGGGGCCCAAGCCCTTAGGGGGCCCAAAGAGCTCTATGATTTAAAATTATTTTAATGCATATAAACATAATTGAATAGGACGGTAAGTTTAGTTTTGACAGACAAATATTGTCAATATCAAAGCTAAAGTTACAATTATTGAGTAAATTTAGACCTACTGATTTTACTCGTCAACAACTCGGGACCTCGCCGTAGACAGTTTAATCTGTGGTTTACTGTCACTTTCAGTCAGTCCAGTCTGTATGCTCAGCTCAGTCCAGTCAGCTCTTCACAGATCCACTACAGTTCGATCGACGTGGACGTAGTGTCAACTTAGTCAACTATCAGTTGAGCTGAGCAATAAGTCTGTAGTAGTCTAGGAGGATTAAACATATGTTTAAAAATGTTTAATCCTCCTAGGTAGTAGTACAGGCGGGACTAATAATAACCTCTGTAGCGTTATCTAACGACCTCAGGGCCGGCGAGAGCTGTCACGGGCATCTGGGCTGAGCGATCTCGGGCCCCCTATTTTCACGATTTAGTGTCTAGCCGCCTCTGTGCCGTTTTGTTAAACATTTAACAATATATCTAAAACGCATGATAGTTTGATTAGTTCTCTTGCTCATAGTTGCAACTTTATTCCTCTAAAAATTAATATGTGAACTGAAAAACCATGCTAAAATCAAAGATTTTAGCAGATTACATGTACAGAAAAGATTTCACATTTGACCAGGCCGGACCCCCTTCAGAGCCCAGGGCCCCTGGGGCTTTGGCCCGTCTGCCCCACCCTCTGGAACCATGATTTGTATGTAGGCCTATCTTATCTTGAAAATATAGTGTAAAAAGAAACTAAGTTTAAATTGAGTCGTTTGTTTATTATTTTACATTATTATTTATGCTTGAAATTCTTTATGTAAAACCTTTTACTTTTTTTGTACAATATGTATTTTATAATTTGTAAAGCTATTTGAAAGAATAAGAAATCCTATTGACATAAGAATAAAAAAGCTTTATTTGAAGTTTGCTGTTTTTTTTAGTTAAAAAATTTACAAAATTACGCATTTTAACGAAAACGTTTTTTTACAAACAGGATCAATATTTAATCTTTAAAATAGCGTTAAAATTCAGTTCCAGCTAGCTATATTTTAAACATTCCCCCCCCCCCTCTCGCAAATAAGGCCTCCCTGCTATTGATGCCAGCTCTAGGGGCCCTTGGAAGATTTTTGCAGGGGGGCCCATATTTTGTAGATCCGGCCCTGCTTCTATAGACAGAGAAAGTAGGGAAGGCAAGTTGCTGGATGTAACGCCGTGTTTACACGAGTCTAGTACAGTAGGTAGGTAGGCTACGGGGCAGGTTACCTGCGTCCTAGTGTATTTAAAGTTACCTGAAGCAGGTAACCTGTCTGCCAGCTGTCTTCGTGCAGACACCGCTTTACTTACCACCTGCACTTAATTTAAGCATACTTAACTACATTGTATGTTAACTAAGTGGGGAAGTTGCCAGTCCCCAATCAAAGTGAGATTTGGAGAGTGAGATTATTGACGTTGGTCACACTAAAAATGTGTGCTCTTGACAGTGGCTATAATGTGATGATGATACAAGTATCAACTGTGATGTCCAGAAGTAAATTAATCCACAACTTATTTCACAATTTATTTAGCGAAATTTACCATGTACTAAAGACACATTTGGGTCGATGATTTAAATACAAATATTGAGTGGGTGTAGAAAGAAGTACAATTATCAGAATAGCTTGGTTTCTGACTATATTCATTGTTTCATAATTCATCATCATCATCATTGTTTCATAGTGCTATTTCTTAATGTTTCAGTGTTGCATGGTAGTGAACAAGTACACTCACTGGAACAGAAGAGTTCTACAGAGCGAAGTAGCCACATTGAGTAAGACGTCTGTCTGGTTGAGCCCAGCAAGAGAATGGTTGAGGTTGTCTACACACAGCTTGCCTAGAGAGCCTTTCTCATTGAAGACTACGTGACCAGATGCTACTGAAGGGCCAGGGTGAGCACTTCGTAAAGCTGGCATCTCAGCGATACTTGGGGACACTGCCACTGTACAACCACAAATCATTTTGTCAGGAATGAGGATTTGGAGGGTTCAGTAAAGTTAACTAAATGATTACATAAAAGATATAGAAAGATGTTTTTGAAGTCCTAAAAAGCATACAAATATTTCCTTCTATATAAATTAAGGCTCAATAGTTTAGAAAAAGTTGTTAAAACATTTTTCAACAAGTTGTATTTTGTGTAATTTGTTTACCAAAGTTAATTAAGTTATTTTTGTGTTCAAAAGTTATATAATTTTTTTTAAACGTTCGCTACCGGTCGCCACATATATGCGACGCTGTAGTCATTGCCCCCGACCGAGATTTTATACATTTTAATATTACGCATCTAGACTGGGTGTCCCTTGGTTCACAGTACAGGCAGACCACGGGCCAGTGATGCAGCAAAGTAAAAAACTGTTTTACCAACTATCATATGACGTCACTAATCATCATATCCACAGACCAAGTGACACACATAAGCAACAGACATCCCCTAGATCAGTGCAGAGAATTCTGGGCCTTCAAATTGACCATTTCAATGATATAATCTTTTTAATAACATTTGGACACTGACGCAAATATGCGATGGCAGTCTATGGGTAGAAACCGGCCGTCGCATATGTGCGTCGATGGTCCATATGAATGAAAAATTTTGTACTATTGCAGTAGGGAAAGTGTTAAACCAATGTACTCTCTAAATTATTTAGGTAAACTGTCATATAAAATCCCTATCACTAACGCAGGATAAAAAGAGCTCTATTATGTACCACTATTGTGTGATTATATAAAGTTTTGAGAGTTCTGAGCATGCTAAGAGCTATGTTCTCTTTGTGCGCAACAATGAATACAGCTGATCCACATAAATGGACAAAAGATAGTATTGTAATACAAACTTACAGCAAGCTTTTTCATCGCTGTGGTCGGGACAGTCGGGTTGACCATTGCATCTCTTGTAGGCAGGTATACAAGTAGCACTGCCAGGACAATGTATGTGACCAGGTCTACAGTACGGACACAACAACTCATCGGACAGATCTGCACAGTCTGGCCAACCGTCACACAGTCGTCCTGATAATTCCCTCAACTCCAAACTTTCTCTGCAACCTGCCAGTTAATTTTCAATATAGTATAGCTTTTTCCTATTCTTCAAGATAGTTTAATTGTAGATCATGTCAATTAGAGTGGCAAATGAAATGTGAATTTGCACAGAAACCCTTCCTACACCATTGTCTCTTTTGTTATTCTGTACAGTCATCTCAACAACTAATTGCTGTTGGATTAATTTAATACAATTTTCTAGTGGTGGTTGAGACCTTTTCCGATATCACTCCCAACACAATACACTATCCCAACTGACACAATCTTTTACCATACTTACTTATAAATTTGTAATGTAAAAAAACCAAAGTGAATTAAATGTAAAATTTCATTTTGGAACTTGTTAAGATAATTGAGCCCTATGATTGGACTGAAAGGGATGAAAAGTGTAGAATACCAGGAGTAATAATTAGTTACAGAAAAAAATTGTGCAGCATCAAAGTATGTTAAAAATAAATTGGAGACATTGTTAGAAATTGATATCCATTTCTACGTTTGCCAAGACATATGGTTATTAGTTATTACCACTTTTAATTAATACAAATTGTCTGCACCTACCAGGTTTGCTAATACACATCTCTCCGACAGTGCTGAAGGAAGGAAACTTGGAGCAGTCAAGAGCATCCTGGAACCTGAGAGGAAGTCGCTGTCCGCAGCCCGACCAGAAGTCTAGGCAGAAGTCTCGACAGGGCCGGATCTGTCAACATCAGAATAACCTTAGATTCTACGATCTGCTGAATATAATATTTAGGTTTGTTTCTTCTAGGTATGTATGTAGGGTCTGTTTTGATGATTAATACTTTGTTTTTGTTTTTTTCCCAACCCAACCAAATTATTATAAGCAAATAAAACAATTTATTATGAGGTGGATGGTCATGTTTGTTTCATGTTATAATCAAGAAACAAAAGCACACTGTAAATTGATTGTAAAATACAGTAAGATAAAATCATTGAGTCCTCTTCTATGCACTCTTGCAATATAACCTGACCCGAAGAACAAACTAAAAGAAAATTCAGATTTATATAAAGTTGAGAACTTGCAGTATTCAAATTAAAAGGTGTAGGTTTGATAACATATTCAGAATTCATTTTATTTTTACAAAATATAAACTTTTGATAGAATACTGTTAGAACAATTTTTCATCAGTCAATTTTTTTTTATCAGTCAATTTGCATTTTAGGAAGTACATAATTAAAACAACAGAAATCTATTGATGCAGTGTTCCTGCTAACTTCTTAATGCACAAATCAGCCTTCCTGAAAATGTTTTATTAAGACTATAAATAATATGAACAAAGACCAACCCTTAAATGAAGACAGTTTGAATGCTAGATAATACTGTATATGATTCATGTTATTGTATATTTTAAGTTACAGTATAAAATATCAGCTGAAGATCTTAATTAAGAGGGTTGTTTTTAAGTAAGGTCTGTTTTTGTGTAAAGTTCCGTAGATAACATCAAAGATTACACATGCCACACAAAATTTTTGCGTAGCATGTGTAATCTTTGATAACATACATATACACCACAATTTGGCTGCTTAGAACGTACAAAGTCTACATGTCAGCTACAGAGCTTCAAATGGACCCATTCTGTTCACAAATGATGCTAGTAAGCAGTAAGAAGCCTTGTTGCAGTGTACACATGATGCACAGAGCTATACGCAAAAACGACCCTTACCTAAAAAACAACTCTCTTATATCTGAATTTCCAGTGACACCCACTACCCACCATTGCTGCTGGTCTTCCTCTCTCTTCAGCAGGTAGACAGGGAGGTTGTAGAACATGACAGACAAACTGGTACGCAAGTCTGTAGCACTCAGCATCCACCAGCTCTCTGGAGAAAAAATAATTTATTTAAATATCAGTAAATTTCTAAAGAAAAGGTGGTACTCTGATGTTGTTTGATCTTTGACTAAAATTAGCGGTATAGAACACATTCAGAATGAATATAGCAATTTTACGGTGATACCAAGAATTTGGGGGAGTGAAATCTTTCAACAATTACATTAATTTATTAACATCAATAAATTGACAATTCATAGATAGACTATTGTATTTACATATGTCTAGTTTTTTATGCACAACAAGCTTCGGTTGACGTGCTGGGACCCTGAGTCCCCTCATGTCTATTTTCATTGTTATTTGTCAACAGGGAAAACACGCAGGACAACATGTTATGCTAGGAATAATTTAAACTCATCATCCACTCATATTTGTGTTGAAATATACACTAAGGTCTTGCCCCATCTAAATTGATGATAATAATGATAATTCAAATTGTTTATAAACGCTATCCCTATGGTGAACGTTATTGGTCAAGTTGCAACTTGCTGTCATGATTTTGTTTGCTATCAATACTAGCTACGATGGTAGAAGCATCATTGTGCTTGCTACAATCTTTGTTTGGATACATTAATATTCAGCTATGAGCCTTAACAATAACCCAAACTAAAAATAAGACTAAGTACTAGATCTTCTGGGTACGACCGCGTTGGAATACTAGGAGATACACTAGTTGCTATGTTAGTGATTGCGACCACAGTGGAAGCCTTACTTCCTACAAACTAAAAATTTTGAAAAAATTAAATACTTTCTTCGTACATGAACGAAGAAGTATATAAAAGTAGTACAGAGAAACAACATTAATACGTAATAGATTAATCAAATCAACTGTCTGACGGCATATAACCGTAAAATTGCTAATGCTATGTAAAATGTAGTGCTTGCACATAGATTGCACAATTGCAGTATGATGGAAGTGGCATTTCACGTGATGTGGGAATGTGCTTATGTGCAATACTGGCAGAAGAGATTGGAGAAAGGTGAATCATGCCTCATGGAGATGAAAGTTTCCATATGTACTTTGATATTGCAACGAGAAGCTAGTGCAAAGAAAAAAAATGTTTTGTAAATAATAGTTTTGACCAGCATTTGCATTTCCGAAAAAAAAAAAAAATGTTATTGAATGGTTCTATTTTTACTCTGCAAATAAGTGAAATTTCATAAGGAAAATACAGTAAATTTATTCAAGATTTTCTTGAAACTGCATCTCAGTTAGTACCACTATACTAAGCATATTTTTAGAATCAGTCACTTTTTCAAGTTTTTTTTTATAAATCAAGCATGATATTTAATTTTTCCCCATAATGAAGCACTTTTTCAAGGGTGTAAAGGTTTTAGGATCAGGATGAAGCTGTTCCTAAAGCTTTATTTGGAATATAACATTTTCTCTAGCTTTTTCATAAAGAAGCACTTAAGTGAAGCAATATTTCCATTAAGCATAGAATTTAGAATATTTTCATAATTTTTAAAGTAATACACATAAAAGTCAAATTAAGTATACTGCCAACTCTGTCTGTAAGTTGCTTTTTGTCATCATACTTTACAGTAAGTTGAAAATAATAATTTTCATTATTTGTTATTTGTTAATAACTAAAGAATGTTTTATTGATGGAAAGTTAAACTATTGCTATTGAATTGTCGATGTACCGTAGTTCAATAATTTGCCCTTGATTGTTAGTACTTCTTTCACAGTCAAGACACTGACATATCTTACAAGAGCAAATCTTGGCATCAATTTCAAGGCAAAACAATTGCGAAAATTTGTAATTAGTGAGTGAAAGAAGAGTTTTGTCTCTGACCTGAAGGCTATGACATCGTCCATCACCTCTTGTAGGCTCTGATGTCCCACAAGGTTGGGGTAGGTGGTGATGTTGTTGGTCACCCCCGCACAGTACGGCAGCTGACGGGGGGAACAGGTGCGGGGGGCAGGAGTGGTTGTTGGCGGGGGCTGTGTCGTCACCTAGACATTGCATTGTGATCAGGAATTAGAGACGAAAACCTATAGGGCTTTACATCGATAGAATGTAAATAAATACTGTTTTGGTCCTTAGGAACACAAAATAAAAAAAGTAAATAGGTCTTACCATTGAATATTGGATACTAGTCTTAGTCATCGATCTCTATTGTAATAATAATAGAGATCGATGGTCTTAGTATGTTAAACTACGGTAATAGCTTCATCTATCATCTACCTGAGCAGCTCAAGACACTACCACTGTCACACTTCAAGAAAAAATTGACATCATGGCTACAGGAGAGACCATTCTACACAGAAGCTGAATTCCTGAAAAAAAAGCACCAGTGGATCTTCCCCTCAACCGTACAATGTTGTAAATAGTTTTAAGTTAACCATCAAAAATTTGTTGACGCATTACTATTCTCTATGAATTGTGTAAATAAAGAAATATTGTCTATTGTCTATTGTCTATGACCATCAGGGAATGGTAGAAACTCTTCTATTTTGTCAGGAATAAGAAGTTCTTGATTAAGATTTCCTGGAGAAATTGACAGTGTCAATGTTTTTAGTTCCAGTGCAGATATTTATCTATAATATAGAATGGTCTTAGTCTTGATACCATAAGCCAGTTGGTCAGTGTTGGTGATTTCAGTTGATTTTCCAGACTAAAATACACACTTATTATACTGTTTTAGTATCTTGCTACTGGTAGAGCTAAGTGGTAGAGCTTGAGGCTTCAGTGCACGAGGTCCGGGATTCAAATCCCAACAATCACCAATGGATTTTATCTTTGTGATAACGCCAAGACCCTCTAGGACTAGCCTAATTTAATGTGTAAAACAGTTTTGGGCTAAAACCTAGCGTCCTAGAATGTGAAGGTGGGACATAAAAATAAAAAAAAATCTTGCTACTGTTTATTAAAATATCCTGGTGTCAACAGAATCATCAGAACAGTTGGTCACATAATAACGTTTTGGTTCACTGAATTATACTCCGTTTACAAAATTTAGGCCGTTTTATAGGGAAAAATCTCCTTTACTTGAACAATAAATCCTATCTTTTTAAACAACAGCTCAACAGCTGAGGTTTGCCAAAAACCTCAATCAGCTGCAAAATACATTGAGAGAAAAAAATTGTGGAGGAACTTCCCCTAAATCCGCCTACATTTTGTGAACGGATTATAATAAAACAAAGAATAGATTGTTCAGATTTCCTCTCTATTTGTTTCTTCTTGAAGATTTGTCCACACTCACCTAAACGTAATAAGATGAACTCTAACTCTAAATTGTCTAATCAAGTTTCAATTGTCTCATATATCTTCTACTAACAGTGGTGTAGTGGAAGAGGAACACGTGGGAATGGCATTCCCACTCTGGTTTTTCCGAAGAACTTATATTTTGATAAGTAACTCGTATTTTTCGACGACAACAGTGAGCGTCACCGCACTGGACAATTTACACCTACACCAGTCTACTAATTATTTAGTAGGAAGTGTTTACGACCAATAGTGTGTGCTGTACCTGTGTGCTAGGACTCTGACTGCTAGGTCCCCCTGGACTGGTCTCATATATGTGTATGCTGCTCAGGTCCAACGTTCTGTTGTTAAGGTACACACTCTGACTGTGCCTCGCCAAGATGTTCTTCAGCTCCTCTGCAGGTATCTCGTACCTCCGTGGGTCGAAATACAAGTTGAAATGAACTATGAGATCAGAATTGTCTTCCCTGAAAATCAATATAAATAGTCAGTAGTGTAAGTTTTCAAAGGTTTTTAGTGCTTAAACTATGGATAAAATACACCATCCTGTGATTCAATATTTTTACCATACAGAATGAAATTGTGAAATTTTCACTTTCTACATGGTTTTTAGTTAGTTTGAAACTGGACTCATCGGTCCTTGATCATTGAGCTTTAAAATGGAATGACTGTAGAACTATATGATATGTTGGTAAAAAACAAAAAAAGAAAGATACATTATGATAACTTATATTTTGTTCATTAAACACTCAAAACTTAAGTCAACTCCGCACCAAGGTGGCATAGTACAAGATGTAATTTTTCTAAATCTTGTCTCGTGATTTCAGGTATTGTGGTGTCAAAGCCTTTCACATCATAAATATTGTGTAAGATAAGACAAAAGTCAAAGATTTTGGGGAAACCATCAGGAATGCTGATCCAAACCCCTTTATCAGATATCTTAGTAATTTATGGACAACTTGGTTATAAAACTCATTTGGTCAATATTAGACTAGATAGACATGTTCGACCATTTAATTTTACTGATTGTTTATTTGTAACCTCAAAAAGTATTCAAATTTATGACAAATTACTTTGACCTAGAAAAGCACAACATTATTAGCTAGTTTCCACTGTTCTCCAAATTCTCCATAAAAAAATACTAATTCAAAGATAAATGATACATTCATATGAAAACATGATTGGACCTTGCTCATAACCTTTGGAATACGAAAAACTCCATTAGTATTGAGTACACAAAAATCTAACTATACTTTTCATTTCAGGTGGAACTATACTGACCCGTCAAAGGCGAGGACTTCACTCTTCAAGTAAGGATATCTAAAGTGACTCCTCCTGTAGACCAGGTTCAACCCCTCTCTGTACTCTCTTGCTGCTCTCTTGAACTCCGGGGTGGAGGGGTCAGCCAGCGGGGGGATGTAACTGTCCCCCTGGATCACCCGGAACAAGCCCCGGAACACCTGCTCTCCTCCAGGCTCCAGGGAAAGATATGTGTCTGTGGGAAAAGAAACTAGATTAGACAATGGTTAAAATCTTTCCACATAGGGTAGCAAAAGTAAGGACTTAGAGGAAGAAATGTGTAAGAAACGAGATGACACAATAGTTAAAATCATTCAACAAAGAAATCTTGAGGTAATAAAGAAAAAGGAACAAAACTAGGAAATGGTTGACATTATTTAAGATCTCCAATTCTTCTTGGTTAGCAAGAATAAAATCTAAAAAAAAGAAATGTAAAAGAAAAAAATTGATTAGACAATGGTTGAAATGTTTCAAGATAGGAACCCTAAGGCATTCAAAATATCATTTGACATAGCAAGAGTGAGGTGTTTAAGAATAAACTGTAAGTACTAATCCTGGGTCTAAAGATTTTTTTGAAATCTTTATTTTTAATGGTGATTTTCTCTAAAACCCATAAAATAGTGGACGAATCAGAGTTTCACAAAAACGGGTAAAATAATTGTGATAACAATTTAGTTTGTTTATGGCCCTTTTAATAGTTCTAAAGAAAATTGTACAACCTCCATTGCCGAGAATATTACAATTAAAAGGTTATTGCAATTTTTTTTTTATTTTACCTATAAAATCTTATTGTTGCTCTCACCACTACCCATGGTTTTTGACAAGCTAATGGGAGAAAGTACGAGTCAGTTTTGCTGATACCGTTTATTTAGTTTAATTTTGTATGCAAATATTTTTCTTCACATTATTGCAAAATGGCATGCCCTAAAGAGAGAAAAAAATTAATTTATTATAATAATGTATAGTAATTATGTACCATATTAAAATGTACACAATAGTTTTTTTATTACCAAATGCTTGATACTGGTACTATAGATCCATATCATTCATATTTTATTTGTATATTATTGGTAAGCACAATTATAACACACAGACATGCATAGTTAGGATAAAAAGTTTAATTATTTTTAGTACTATTTAATAATCTAACGGAAAATAAATTTAATTCCTTGATAGACCATTGTACAAATGACGCTAATAAATTAAAATTTACCAGTTAAAAATATGATAAAAAGTGAAAGTACCATTTATAATGTGTAAGGAGAAACAGTACAGAACAAAAAAAGAAATTCAAATATTTACAATCCTCGATATTTCTTTATATGATGTATTTCCTGTGTTTTCTTCATGCCTTGTCTGAGTGTATTTATTAAAAATGCATGATCTTCCCTTTCAGTGTTCACATATGCTTTTAAACCTATATCTTTACCTTCTTCAACAAACAATGGACAAGAAGAAACCTCTTATATTATGTATAGACTATGGATTGGACCTGACTTAGGTGAAGCTAAAAGGAATTTTCAAGCTTCTTTTGTAACTGGATTTAAACTATCTCAGTCTAAATCCAACCAAGATCCTTGTACTTTCTTATTTACTTTATTTTACCTTAAGTTTTAGGTTATAGACATTTGATATGTCTCGTTAAATTATTAATTTTTGTTAAACAATTTGTTAAGGGAAAAATCAATATCCGGTAATTTAATGTATTGCCTCTATCAACGATCTGTTCCACTTGCTGACACTGATGGGATTACTAGCTATATAATACACTTTCTCTTTTCGTTCCAGAACAATACTTTCTTTGCTCTATTGACGTTAGCACTCCATCAGCAGTCCAGGCTTTGGTCCATGCATTCACAACACACACTTAGCAAACGTGAATGAATCACGCACTGTGCACAACTCAAGGTCATTTAGATTTACTCTGCAGAACGCTCTAGTTTCATTTTCACTGTTCCCTTTATTTTATCTATTGGCAGTAGCATGCAATAGACACAGGGTGTCCCACAAATGGGTTTAGTCGTTATATATTTTATATTACTTGGCCGTTTATGTACTGAATTTGTTGAAACTTTACATAATTTATCATGTAGGTTAGGTTTCGAAAATAGAACATTTGTTCGTTTTGATAAAAAAAACAACTTTTTTGTTGAATTGATTGGTTTAATACGTTGGATTGTGACCACTTATTGTTGAACAGATCTTAAAATGAAGAATTCTGATTGAGCCATGAAAACATATAATGGCCAAACAAAGACAGTTATCAACGTTTTTAGAAGCAATAACCCTCCCCACAACCTTTCTTGAACGAAAAGAGAAAGTGTATTATAGTGATCCCATCAGAGTTTTGGCAAGCGGAACAGATTGTTGTTAGAGGCAATACATGGAATTACCAGTTATCGATTTTGCCCGTTTAGCAATTTTTTTATAAAAAATAATAACTTAACCAGACAAAGAAAATGCCTATGACCTAAAAGTTAAGGTAAAATAAGAAAATGAGAAGTTACAAGGATCTTGGTCGGATTTAGGCTGAGGTCTTTTAAGTCCAGTTACAAAAGAAGCTTGAAAATTCCTTTTATCTTCGCCTAAGTCAGGTCCCATCCTCATCCGTAGTCTATACATAATGTAAGAGGTTTCTTCTTATCCATTGTTTGTTGAAGAAGGCAAGGATATAGGTTTAAAAGCATATGTGAACTCTGAAAGAGAAGATCATGAATTTTTAATACCTACACTCACACATGAAGAAAACACAGGAAATACATCATATTATGAAGAAATATCGAGAGTTGTGAATATTTGTATTTTATTTTTGCTCTATACTGTCTCTCCTTACTTACAAATAATAAATGGTAACTTAGGTATACTTTTTTCATTGGTGAATGGTGATCTATCAACCCACAAGGTCTATAAGAAAAGTATATTTATTTTCTGTTACATTAGCTTAAAATCATCAACATTTTTTCCCTAAATACATGTACTGTATTTGTCTTATAATTATTTGCACCAAATATACAAATAAATTGAAAATGTGAAGCATATGGATCTATGGGTCATGTGGGCTTGTACAGTAATAGTGAAGCATATCCCTCCCCACAACCCTTTTGGTAAACAAGTCATTGTTTGAAAGAAACTGCATGTAGAAGGTTAAGTTATGTTTTGGTGGCATAAGATACTTTGAAATCATACACAGCTGCCCAAAAATTAAAATGTCAAACCACAAGCCAGTAACAAGTTAGGTTTTAGCTTAGAAAGTAATTAATAAAGGAATGGAATCGGTAAAACTTTTATTATGCCACCATTTTGTTTCTGCAAACGACAGGAAGCTGACACTTTCACAATATACGAGTACTTTCAAACCTCACTTGAACTGTGTAAGGTTGAAAAAACATTCGGTGCATAAAAGTATAAAATGAAAAGTCTAAGCTAAACCCTTTCGTGGACACCCTGTATCCATCACACACTAACCTACAAGCATGAACCACGCACACTGCTTACAGCACGATTCAAGGCCATTCATATTTACTTTGCAGAACGGTCTAGTTCCATTTCTGTTGTTCCCTTTCCTTTCCCTTCTTGGCAAAGTGTCGTACCTCTTACTTCCATTCCATTCCTTTCTCTTTAAGTGTTTATAATACTTTTCGTCAGTTTGAGTTTGTATTTAAACATTTAACTATATTTCCAAGCAACATAACTGTATTCTAGTCAAATGATTGACTAATCGGAATGTGTTCAATTCATCCTTTTCCAAGCGTGCGACAAGAAATTGCCTAGTGAGTGCCTAGCCCAAAGAAGAACTGTTACAAACGTTAAACTGACATTTCCTTTTCAGCGTTCCCTCTCTTTAACCCTTGCGACAGCGGGTTAGCGAAAGGGACTTCTGACAGTCCAAATTATACGTTTCTAGGTGACGGATCGTTGGCCAACATCTGACACGCCCAAACCAAACCAAACAGTCTTAGTACAGGGAACATAGTTCATTCAATATGCCAGTTGCTGACCTTAAGGTTTTGGTGATTGGTGGCAAATTATAGTAAAAGGTAGATTTTAATTTGACCTCGGATTATGAACAAACTTTAAGTTTGTCCGGAAAAGATGTTTTGCACATTGTCTCATGTTAATTGTCACATTGCCAACGGTTGTAAGCCCCTTTTGAAATGCACAATTCGTGCATGGCTCACCATCGTCATAATTATACTACATTGGGAAGTACCGTACCTTAGAAGGATTTATTCTAGGGGAATCGTCCATCAAGAGAAATGAGCAAAATTTTTTCAAACTGAAGGATATTTGATTTAAAATCTAATGCCACTATTGATAGATTATTTTGTGCATGGATTGAAGTCAATACTGTTATTTGAAAGCTCCAAAATGTCCGCTTTCCTACAATGTTTGCTACAAAAGTCATAGTGACAACACGGCTGTCGAAGTACGAATATGCAAATCAGACGAATCAATCAAATAATTTTGATGTTCTTCTAAACAAAACACAAAACATGAAACAATTATGATGAAATAGGTATCATATGTACATTGATGAGAATTATAATGTGGTTCCGTACAAAAATTACATAAGACCAAGGACCAAAGGTTTGTCTGTGATCGTCGGTACCGTACGTGGAAAATAATTATGTTGTATATTGCTATGGTTTTTGTATATATGGCAAGTTCCAGAGGAAGACTCTCACTCTCCCATCATTCTTCTTTTCTACCCTTAAACGACATGTTATCAACCATCAATCCTAGGGTAGTTTCAGTGGACAAATAAGACAGAAACCTTCCACATAGAGATACTTCCAGCGGAGACTGACGGATCCAAGACCAAGAGCAAGGGTCAAGTCAGTGAGTCAGAGTCAGGGGTCAGACACGGTTCAAGGACAAAACACCGTTACCGTGGAACACTGACACACTCTTACATACGCACACACACACACACACACACACACACACACACACTTGCGGTCGTTGAAGAGTAGGAAGGCTGAGTAAGCATTCTTACAATATATTTGTATTTATTTATCTGTCAGTGTTTTGTAAACGAGTCGCGTTGTGATATTCTAGTGATCTGAAAACCTACTGTGGTTGTTTTAGGACTATGCCCTCTTCAGCCTGGGATGGGATACCATCTAGTAAACTGTAAGAAAGACTTTTGAAGCTTGCAAGAATTAAACAGTTTGCAAAACCAACGATTATGGAACG